AGACCAGGAAAAGCACCTGGCTCCTGGATCTTGCCATCGGATCAGCGCGGTGCGCCGGCCGCAGCGCGCCAGCCGCGGCGGCCATTGGAGGGTGAACCAACTGCAAAAGGAAGACCTTTCTCTCTGTCTCTCTCTCTCACTGTCCACTCTGCCTGTCAAAAAAAAAAAAAAAGATTTATTTGAAAGGTAGAATTATACAGAGAGAAATCTTCCATCTGTTGGTTCAGTTCCCAGATAGCCTCAATAGGAGCTGGGCTGGTCTGAAGCTAGGATCAAGGAGCTTCCTCTGGGTCTCCCACATGGGTGCAGGGGTCCAAGCACTTGGGCCATCTGCTGCTGCTGTCCTAGGCGCATTAGTAGGGAGCTGGATTGGAAGTGGAACAGCCAGGACTCGAACCAGTGCCCATATAGGATGCTGACACCACAGGCAGCAGCTTTACCTACTATGCCACAACACTGGCCCTCAAAATAAGCTTTTAAAAATTTATTTATTTGTAAGGCAGAAGGGTGGAGAGAGAGAGGGAAATTCCATTCATTAGTTCACTCCCTAAATGGTCACAATAGCCAGAGCTGGGCCAGGCCAAAGCCAGGAGCCAGGAACTCAATCCTGGTCTCCCACTTGAGTGGCAGGAACCCGTACTTGAACTATCATTTGCTACCTCTTAGGGTGCACATTAGCAGAGGAGCTGGGACTAGAGCCAGCACTATGGTACAGAATGCTGGTGTTACAACCAGTGGCTTAATCCACTGCACCAAGGGCTGGCCACAGTCACATGGTTTTTCTGTCATGAATTTGGAAGTGGCAGTTGGCTGTAGCCAAGATCGTGTGGCCAGGGCTGCAGTCACCTGTAATATTGACACAGAACTTGCTTATTGGCAGGCGGTCACACAATGAAGTGGTTGGCCTCCCCCAGGGCCGGTGATATAAGAGCCAATGACCTGGGAAAGCAGTGGAGGATGGCCCAAGTGCTTGGGCCCCTGCACCTGCATGGGAGACCAGAAGCTCCTAGCTCCTGGCTTTGGATTGGCACAGCTCTGGCCATGGCGGCCATTTGGGGAGTGAACCAATGGAAGGAAGACCTTTCTCTCTGTCTCTCGCTCTCATTGTCTGTAACTCTACCTGACAAATAAATAAAAATCTTAAAAAAAAAAAAAGTCAATGAGACAGAAGCCACAGTACTTCCTACTGCCTGGAAGTCACACTCTGTGAGAGGTGTGAACACCAGGAGGTGAGAGGAGTTGGTCTTAGAGCCCGGCTAGGCTAGCATGATCTGATCTCTGGACCCCAAGTGGTTTCCATCTTTCCAATGTAAAAGGCTCTCATGCCTTTCCAAAGCCCTTGAAAGTCTCATCTGGTTGCAGAATCAGCTTGAGATTTGGGATTTCTTCTTAGTCAAGTTCAGTTGCGAATGAGGCTCCTATGGAATATCAAGTACAGTTCTGCTTTATCTGCACCTGCAGAGAGAGATGGTCCTCTCCACAGTACATCTGCTCACCAAACTCAAGGTGGTGGGACAGGCAAAGGACAAACCCTGAAGGCACTCCCATTCAACAAGAGCGAGTAGAGGCTCAGAGGAGGCACCAGTCCATCGTGATCAGGAAACCAAGCCGAGCACACACTGATTCAGCAATCTAGCAGTTCCATGGTTCAGACCCAATTGGGGATAATTCTTTCCTCTGAGTCATCCTTCCCTTTTTCATGTTTGCAGCTAAGTAGTTTTCTCAGCTTGTTTCTTGCTTGGACAAGTTTAGGAGTCTAAAGCATTCTTTTAATTTTATGTTGTTTCTGTCCCTTTCAAATATAGGCATTTGAGTGTATGACACATTGGTTTCTATGAGAGTCTTTGAATTAACCAGGGTTCTCCAGAGAACTCCAGCACCAAGATGGTGTGTGTGTGTGTGTGTGTGTGTGTGTGTGTGTGTCTTATCTGTGGTCTCACTTCTGTCACTCCACTTACCAGTGGTCAACAAGGATCCAACATATCACATAGAAAATCCCAGCATGTGGAGAGAGCCCATGTTCATATAATTTGTATTGCAGTATATTGTTACAATATTCATTTTCATTATTAATGTTGCTAAACTCTTAGTGGTCCTAATTAATAAACTAACTTAGTTTTGTGGTATGTAGGGTTAGGTACATACCAGGGTACTAGGTTTCAGGAGTCCGCTGGGGGTCCTGGAGCAGCCTCTGCAGGTACGGGGGAGAACTGCATTCATTTATTATGAGAACTTGGCTCTTGTGATTCTGGAGGCTGGGAAGCCTAAGACCTGCCCTCGCAAGCTGGACAGCCGAGAACGGTGGGTGTGCAGCCCGAGTGCACCTGGAGGCCAGACAAGCGGGAGTGCAGACGGTGGAAGCTCCAGTCTGAACCTCTAGAGAGACCCAGAGAGCCGGGGCTGCAGTCTGAGTCCACAGGTGGGGAAAACCCACCCCCAGCTGTGGCTGTCAGGCGGGAGTTCCTTCTCGCTCAGCCATTTTGTGCTACCCCCAGCTGTGTGGGCTTGGACAAAGCCCATCCACGTGAGGGGGGGCCGTCTGCTTTCCTCAGTCCTGCGGGTTCAAATGTTCGTCTCACCCAGTGATACCCTCACAGGCACAGCCAGAGCAGTGTGGAGCCAAATGTCCGGACCCTCTAGAGCCACGTGGTGTGGGCACATGAGGTGGACCACTGCAGAAGGCAGCAGGGAATTGCGACATTGTTGTTCCTTAGACTTGGGGCCCGGCCTCTCTCAGAGGGGAATGGACACATCTGTAGCTGCAGCGGCAGACTTTGCCACACCTCTCTCTTTCTGACTGACAGACTATGCAAAAAAAAAAAAAAAAAAAACCCACAAAAAAAACCGAGGCCGGCGCCGTGGCTCACTAGGCTAATCCTCCGCCTTGCAGCGCCAGCACACCGGGTTCTAGTCACGGTGGGGGCGCCGGATTCTGTCCCGGTTGCCCCTCTTCCAGGCCAGCTCTCTGCTGTGGCCAGGGAGTGCAGTGGAGGATGGCCCAGGTGCTTGGGCCCTGCACCCCATGGGAGACCAGGAAAAGCACCTGGCTCCTGGCTCCTGCCATCGGATCAGCGCAGTGCGCCGGCCGCAGCGCGCTGGCCGCGGCGGCCATTGGAGGGTGAACCAACGGCAAAGGAAGACCTTTCTCTCTGTCTCTCTCTCTCACTGTCCACTCTGCCTGTAAAAAAAAAAAAAAACGGGAAGGACAAAGAAGATGCGAAGCTTGTTGAGCATAGGGGTCCTCACTAACACAAGTAGAACACAATTTCTTGTCAGGTGCATATGGAATATTTGCTGATAGGCGAGGCCATGATGCAAATCTCCCAAAATGACAAGGAAATCCTACACAATGTGATCAGTGCCCATAGTGGGATCATGCTAGTCATCAAAAGTGAAAAGAAAACCAGACAATCTCAATGTTTGGAAATAAAGCCGTATACTATTAAATAACCCATAAATCAAAAAGTAAAGCACATGGAAATGTTAAAATATTTGAAGTGATTGATAATGAAAACATGATATGCCAAAACTTGCGAGAAGAGGCTTTAAATGCTATGTTGGAAGGGAAATACAGCTGGAATCAATGACCTAAAAAATCTGTCTCAAATAGTTAGGAAAAATAGGAATTCAGTGTAAATAAAGTAGAAGGATGAAAATGCCAGAAGAACCTCATAAAATATAAAGCAAAGATATGAAAGAGTTATTAAAAGTTGTTTATCTGATAAGACTACTAAAGCTGATAAACTGACAAGACTGTCGAAAGAAAGGAAAGAGGAGTGAATGAAAAGACCCTCACTACAGGTCCTAAAAAGACAGTGAGAGGCTAGTCTCAACAGTTACATCCTAGAAAAGCACAGCCTACCAGAACCGACACAAGCACAAACAGGAAAAGTGTGGAGTCCTGTTTTTATATTTATTTATTTGAAAAGTAGAGTTACAGAGAGATGGAGAGGCAGATATAGACAGGGGAGAGAGAGAATCTTCCATCCACTGGTTCACTCCCCAAATGCTCCCATGGACAGGGCTGAGCCAAGCCCAAGTCAAGAGCCAGGAACTTCATCTGGGTCTCCCTCGTGGGTGTAGTGGCTCAAGCACCTGGACCATCCTCAACTGCCTCCCCAGGCACATTAGCAGGGTGCTGGATCAGAAGTGCAGCAGCCAGGATTCAAATTGGCATCTGTATACAGGGATGATAGCCCATACAGATAGCTGCTTAATCCGCTGTGCCACAGCACTGCCGCCCCTCCCCTCCCCCTTTTTGTTTTTAGGATTTATTTTGTTTATTTGAAAGGCAAGTTAGAGAAGGAAAATAAGTCTTACATCTACTGGTTCACTCCCCCAAATGGCTGCAATGGCCATGGCTGGGCCAAGCCGAAACTAGGAGTCAGGAGCTTCATCTGGGTCTCCCACATGGGTGCAGGGGCACAGGGACTTGGGCCTTCCTCCACTGCTTTCCCAAGTGCATTAGCAGGGAGCTGGATCAGAAGTGGAGCAGCCAGGGTCAGTGCATAGTAGGCTAAGCTTCTGTCTGCAGTGCCTGCATCCTGTGTGGGTACTGGTTCATGTTTCAGTTGCTCCACTTCTGATCCAGCTCTCTGCTATTGCCTGGGAAAGCAGCAGAAGATGGCCTAAATGCTTGGGCCCCTGCACCCATGTGGGAGATCTGAAAGCAGCTCCTGCTCCTGGCTTCAGACAGGCCCAGCTTCTGCCATTGTGGCCACTTGGGGAGTGTTTCCCTCTCCCTCTCCCCCTCCCTGAGATGCATTGATAGCTCATTGATTTGGTGCCTTTCTAATTTCTTGATGTAAGCACCAATTGCTATTAACTTTCCTCTTAACACTGCTTTTGCTGTATCCCATAAGTTTTTTTTTTTTCTTTTTGGAAGTTGTTTTATTTACAATGCCAACTTTTAAAAGATCACTCAATTTAACTGGACAATAAACTAGGCAGCAATCACTCTGCGAGAAGAGAGGAAGCCCCAAATGCCACTTTCTATCGAGGACCCACAGTTCAGTTTTATTAAGAGCAAAGTAAACAGGAACTTTCAATCATACTAGAAGAAACTCGGGTTTGGAATCTGTACTCAAACTACACATGCAGTGAGGACAATATTCTGCTAAAACAAATGATTTGCTGCTGCATTTGTCTACGTTTGCCTAATATTAACAATTATAAACAGAGCAGTGCAACTAGTATTTGGAACAATCCTTACAGTGTTACAGTGTCAGGCACAACGTTTCACTCCTCTTCACACCACTGGTTCTCTTTGCTTACCTGGGCTTCTTCTTCTTCAGTAAAGTCATTCTTAATGTTGAAGGTCTTGCGAATCTCCTCAGGAGTCTTCCCCTTGATCATATTGGCAACAGTCTTGCACATAACGTCCAGCAAACCTTTGATGTCTGAGTAGTTTGCAGCCAGAATAAGCTCAAAAAGTGTTCCTTGGTCAACTTTCAGGAATCCCTGGTCCCAAACAGGGATATCATCTATTCGCTTTTCTTTGTTCTCATCGTCTTCAGGAGGAGGAGGGTCATCCTTGTGGTGGGTGCACCACTGAATGACCTTTTTTAATATTGCTACATTAACATTTGGTAGAGGAACCGGGTCATCGTCTCCTTCATCATCCATCCCCAAATCTTCCAACATGGTCTTGATAGTCACAGACTGTTTGGCAATTTCTACATCAACTTCAAAAATCTCTCCATCAGAACTCTGCAACTTTATTGAAGGCATGGTGTTCGGGTTTGAGGAGCCGGCGGGCCGGAGGCTGACGAGAGAGGGGCGGCGTCAATGCAAGGAGAAGAGAAAGGCGGACGACAAGGCCACTCCATAAGTTTTGATATGTTGTATTGTTGTCTTCGTTCATTTCCAGAAAGTTTTTATTTCTTCAATTACTCCCCCAATTGGCCGAAACAGCCAGAGCTGCACTGATCCGAAACCAGAAGTCAGAGCTTCTTCTGGGACTTCCACATGGGTGCAGGGGTCAATCTCTTGGGCCATCTTTCCCAGGCCATAGCAGAGAGCTGGGCTGGAAGAGGAGCAGCCAGGTCTCAGACCGGCACCCACATGGGAGGTTAGCACTTCAGGCCATGGCTCTAACCCACTGTGCCACAGTGCCAGCCCCAATAAATAAATCTTAAAAAAAAAAAAAAAAGAATCTCTAGAACATATGCAAACACGTGGAGACTGAACAACATGCTCCTGAATGAATAGTGGGTCATTGAAGAAATAAAAACTTTCTGGAAATGAATGAAGACAACAGTATAACATATCAAAACTTACGGGATACAGCAAAAGCAGTGTTAAGAGGAAAGTTAATAGCAATTGGTGCTTACATCAAGAAATTAGAAAGGCACCAAATAAATGAGCTATCAATGCATCTCAGGGAGAGGGAGAGGGAGAGGCGGTGGCTTTACCCATTACTCCACAATGCCAGCCCCTAGAGATTCTTGAGTTGTTGATTTCCAGCTTCATTTCATTGTGGTCCAAGAAGATGCATGGTACTATTTCATTTTTTTTGAATTTGCTGAGACTTGCTTTATGGCCTAGCATGTGATCTATCCTAGAGAAAGTTCCTTGCATAGGTGAGAAGAATATGTATTCTGCAACTGTAGGATGAAAAGTTCTGTAGATATCAGTTAGGTCCATTTGATCTATAGTGTCAATTAACTCTGTTGTTTCCTTGCAGATTTTCTGTCTGGTTGATCTGTCCATTGCTAAAAATGGGGTATTGAAATTCCCCATTACTATTGTATTGGAGTCTATGTCTCCCTCTAGATCCATTAACATTTCTTTTAAATATCCTGGTGACATGTAATTAGGTGCATATATATTTGTGATAGTCACATCTTCCTGTTGAATTGATCCCTTAATAATTCCATAGTGCCCCTTTTTGTCTCTTTTAACAGTTTTTGTGTTAAAGTCTATTTTGTCTGATATTAGGATGGCTACACCAGCTCTTTTTTTGGTTTATGCTAGCATGGAATATCTTTTTTCCATCCTGTCATTTTCAGTCTGTGTGTGTCTTTGTTGGTGAAATGTGTTACTTGTAAGCAGCAAATAGGTGGGTTTTGTTTTTTAATCCTTCAGCCAGTGTATATCTTTTAATTGGAGAGTTGAGGCCATTTACATTCAAGATGACTATTGATAAGTAATGACTTGGCCCTGTCATTTCTCCATAAATATTTCTGTTGTTTACTTTGGGTTTCCTTTGTACTTTTACTGGGAGATTTCTTTCCTTTACCTCTTTGGTAGTGATGACCACGTTTCTGTGTTTCTGTGTGCAGCACATCCTTAAACATCTCTTATAAGGCTAGATGGGTGGTGACAAATTCAATTTCTGTTTGTTATAGAAGATCTTTATTTCACCTTCATTCATAAATGAGAGCTTTGCAGGGTACAGTATTCTGGGTTCACAGTTTTTTTCTCCTAAGACTTGGAATATATCTCACTGTTCTCTCCTAGCCTGCAGGGTTTCTGATGAGAAGTCCACTATGAGTCTAATTGGAGATCCTCTGAAAGTAATCTTAAGTTTCTCTTGTGTACATTTTAGAGTCTTTTCTTTGTAGTAAAACTCTCCACAGTAAAACACAATGTGTCATGGTGAAGATCTTTTCTGATGATATCTATTAGGAATTCTATGTGCTTCCTGTACCTGGATGTCTCTTTCTACAAATTAGGTAAGTTTCCTATAATTACTTCACTGAAAAGGCCTTATTTTTTTTTTTTTGAAAAGACTGATTTATTTATTTGATTGACTTATTTGAAAAATAGAGCTACAGAGAGAAGAGCCAGAGGAAGAGAGCCAGGAGCTTCCTCCAGGTCTCCCACGTGGCTGCAGGGGCCCAAGCACTCGGGCCATACTCCTGAAAAGGCCTTATAATCCATTCTCTTTCCATGCCTTCAGGAACTCCTAAGTCTCATATGTTGGATTGTTTGATAGCATCCTGCATATTCTCCGTAGTGATTTTTAGTTTTCTTTTTTTTTTTAATTTTTTTTTTATTTGACAGATAGAGTTAGCCAGTGAGAGAGAGAGACAGGGAGAAAGGTCTTCCTTTTTCTGTTGGTTCACCCCCAAATGGTCGCTACGGCCGATGCTGCGCCAATCCGAAGCCAGGAGCCAGGTGCTTCTTCCTGGTCTCCCATGCGGGTGCAGGGGCCCAAGGACCTGGGCCATCCTCCACTGCCTTCCCGGGCCACAGCAGAGAGCTGGACTGGAAGAGGAGCAGCCGGGACTAGAACCTGGTGCCCATATGGGATGCTGGCACCGCAGGCGGAGGATTAGCCAAGTGAGCCATGGCGCTGGCCTCGGTTTTTAGTTTTCTGATTTCTTCTTCTTGTTTTTGGTCTAAAATTTCCAGAGATTTGTCTTCCAACTTGTCTATTCTTTCCTCTGCTTCAGCAAGTCTGTTGTTAAGACTTTTCATCATCACTGCTGCCACCACCTCCTCCTCCTCCTCGTCTTCTTTGCCATCTTCTTTTAAAGATTTATTTATTTGAAAGGCAGAGTTACAGAGAGTCAGAGACAGAGAGAGAGGTCTTCCATCTGCTGATTCACTCCTCAGATGGCCCCCATGGCTGGCACTGAGCTGATTCAAAGCCAGGAGCTTCTTCTGGGTTTCTCACACAGGTCCAGGGGCCCAAGCACTTGGGCCATCTTCTACTGCTTTCCTAGGCCTTAGCAGAGAGCTGGATTGGAAGTGGAGCAGCCAGGACTTGAATTGGTGCCCATATGGGGATGTTGGCATTGCATGTGGCACGTGGCACGAGGCACAGCTTTACCTGCTATGCTACAGCACTGGCCCCTCCATTGCATTCTTTATTTTGTTCTATTGAATTCATTTCCAAGATTTCATTTTGATTTATCTTTAATATCTCAATTTCATGGGAAATTTTCTTTCATGTCCTGTGTAGATTTCATTAGTTCGTGGATTTGCTTCTGATTACTTCTAAGTAATTCTATGATCAATTTTTTGAATTGCTTTCTGGCATTTCTTCAATCTCTTCATCTTCACATTCTAATGTTTTGAGGTGTTGTGTTCTCTTGGAGGCATCATGTTGTCTTCCTTATTCTTGTTTCTTGTATTGTTGCCCTTATTATTCAGCATTTATAGAGATACTTGTTGGTTCCTGTTTTGTTTTGTTTTTTCCCTGCGACAGCTTTTATATTTGGATATGCCTCTGTGGCTTATTGGAGTCTCTGCTTTCTCAGTGAATACCCAGAGGTGTGTGGTGGATGTGGGCAAGGAGCTCTGTTCAGTGCTCCAGGGTGAGGGGGAATGTCCAAGGTGACACCCAGGTTGGGTGTGGTAAATTTCCTTTTTTTTTTTTTTTAATCGAAGGATAGGTTTTTTTTTTTTTTTTTTTTTTTTTTTCTCTGTTGGCATTGTCTCATGCTCACCTCCTCTCCTCAAATGAGACCAGTACCAGGGTGGTTGCCCCAGTGGGTACAGTGTTTGTCCACACTGCCCCAAGAACTACAAGAGATCTGTGCAGTCCTTGGTGTGAGCATGGATCCCACAGCAGTGACCTTCACAGGGAAATTGGGGAGCCCTGAGCGTGTAGAGATGCCCACAGACTACCCAAAGTCCCAGCCACACCCTGCACCCTCCCACGCAGCCACAGTGTTTTCACAGTCCCAGCACACAAGGCTCCCACGGTCACAAGCACCCAGCCCCCTGTCAGTTCTCCCAGCCAGGCGCAGGCGTCTCCGCTGGGCTGGTTGCCTGGAGTGTGGACATGAGCCAGCACAGCTGTTACATATGTCTAAAATGGCACCCACCCTCTCTTGGCTTGTTACAGAATGCCAGTACAGGGTGGTGGGGGAGAGAGAAATGGCCCCTTTTTTCCCCTCTAGGTTGGCAGGTACACTGTCCCCCACAGGGCCCATGCCAGGCCCATGCCAGGATCTTCCCTAGCTTTATCACCAGCAGCCTGGGTTCCTGCAGTCTGGTCTCACCTCACTCTCCAAGGCTGGTGCTGAGGCTCTGGGCTGCTGGGGTCCCGACTTGTGCGTGTCCGCGACCTCCATGTGGGTCCACAGTGTCCCTCTAATTTGCATAAAGTTTCCTCTGCCGTTTTCTCTCTAACTCTTCTCTGAGACTGCACTCTCCCCATTTTCCTTAAAACTGTCTTCCTTTAGGCTAGAGCAGTAAGCGTCTCCCTATTCCGCCACCTTGGATCTCTCCCCGAATTAACTTTATTAAAAAATTAGGAGTACTAATCACTTTTATGTGATCAGCATTTCCTTGATGCAAAAACCTGACAGAGATACAGCAAAGAATATTAAGCCAAACAAAGATGCAAAATATCAGCAGAACAAAGTTCTATACATAAGAAAACGCTGCACAACTGAGTTACATTCATTTGAGGGCGAGGCCTGGAGTGAGTCCTCTGCCAGGGCCTGGCCCAGAGCTAGCCCTTCTTGAGTACCTGCTGGGTGGGTGGAGGGAGAATGGTCATGGGCAGTGCTGAGGTGTGGGTCCCTAGGCAGCGGCCTTCACCAGGTAGGCGCCTGCTGATAATCCACAGAGATAAGACTCATAGCAGTGAAATTATGTGCGGGGACATTTTCTATTGATGAAAAGTTGATGGAAGAATCAAATGAATCTTGACACAATGCAGATGAGCCAGCGCTTACCCACTGCCTCCGTTTCTTTTTCTTTTTTTTTTTTCTTCTTTTTTTTTTTTTTTGACAGGCAGAGTGGACAGTGAGAGAGAGAGATAGAGAGAAAGGTCTTCCTTTGCCGTTGGTTCACCCCCCCAATGGCCACTGCGGTGCCTCTCCTGCGGGTGCAGGGCCCAAGCACCTGGGCCATCCTCCACTGCAC